TACACCATCAAATCAACTGCACCCACTGACCACTCCAATAAATCCCAAGCCTGCAAACATACCGTTAATTAAAACACCAAATATTTCCCCTACTACTACACGAAAACCTCCTCATATAACTAACCAACACCCAAATGAATCATCTACCATTAAACCTACAACACAGGAGAACACTCTCTTACTCCAACACACCCCTCCTCAACCATCCCATAACCATGAATCGCAACATCAACCATCCTTGGAACAACCCACCTCGACACCTACCACCACTTTACATCACTCAATATCTACCCACAAAAGCTTACCCTCAATCATGGATAGAAATGAGCCTACTGGAACATGCACTCACATTCACGATGGAGGTGGAAGGCCAGGAAGTGATACTCATGCTCCAGAACCCAGCAGATATTGCATAGTAGTAACAGAAGGCATGAGGATGGGGGTGGAACTCTACAACCAGTATCTATGGGTCATGCATCCACTCTCGTCCATGCAACATTTCCAGACACACATACCGCTCCCCCCACTATACTACAATAAAACATCTCCCATGGAGCTACCATTTTATCCACCACAAGTTCCAACCCACTCACTAGTTCCATGGATACAACAAAGGTCAACCATATATATCCCATCTCCATTGCATGCACAAGCAACACCATATCAACCCACTCCAGTGCATCCACCACTAGCTACTCCCAACGTACTCGACGAAATAGAGAAACTCGAGGTGGCAGCAACAATGGAGGACATAAGGGAAACTCAGCCAATTTTGTGCTTCCTCAACAACAACAAATACTACGACCTCAAAGAACAATATGCAAGAAAGGTGATCATCATGTGCCCGCTGGAACTCCAAAGCTGCTCACTCAATCTCCGTCCAACAAACAACCCAGAGGTAGGAAAGTACGGGCTAGTATTGATCCCCTCATTACTGGGAACAACAGTGCCCCAAGTGGAGACAACACAGACTCCACCACCCTCACCCTCCACAGTAATCAAATGCAGTTTATCATATGGAATTTTCGTGGAGCTCAGTCACAAGACTTCAAGAGAAATTTTCGTTCATTACTCAACTATCACCAACCTGCCCTAGTGGCCCTACTGGAAACTCATCTCCAATTCCATACTCACTTGAAGGAAGAGTTTGGTTTTACAAAAATGGCACAAGCACCAACACACGGACACTCAGGTGGTATCGCATTACTATGGCATGAAGAACTGCTTCAGCTTGATCAAATAGAGGTGACCCTAGAAGCCATACACTCTATTGTTCAGGTACCTCCTAACCCTACTACTTGGTTATTTTCGATTATATATGCAAAAAATGACTTGCATGCACGTACTTCATTATGGGCTCATTTAATGACCATGCATGATAATATCCATATGCCTTGGTTAATCGGGGGTAATTTTAATGAAATAACTCGTGCAAATGAAAAATATGGAGGTAACCCTATAAATAATTCAAGATGTGACAAATTCATCCAATGTCTTGACTATTGTAACTTATTAGACTTAGGCTTTAGAGGGAGCAGATATACATGGACAAACAAACGATTCCTAGCTAATAGAATTTTGGAACGATTAGACAGATTTGTTTGTAATTATGAATGGCTTAACCTCTTTCCTGAAGCCAATGTACAACATCTTCCACGAACCCATTCAGATCACTATCCGTTAATCCTTCAATTGAAACTAAAATTTCCATGTAAAGAGTCTTTCGATTTGAAACCATTTGGTCATCCCACCCGTCATTCCCTTCTCTTATTACCAATCACTGGACTCCTAATAAATATTTGTTAAAAGCAATTACTGATTTCACTGAAGATGTCCAAAACTGGAATCAACACACTTTTGAGAACATTTTTAAAAAAACAGAAAAACTTATTGGCTCGTCTAAATGGTCTTCAATCATCACCTAGTTACCCCACTACTCATTTCTTTCAAATATTAGAAAAGGAACTCATAGATGAATTTAATCAACTGCTTAAAATGGAAGAGGACTTTTGGCAATTAAAATCCAGAATCAATTGGCTTCAACAAGGGGATGTCAATACTAAGTTTTTCCATCTCATAACCCTCTAACGACGGAGGAGGAATAGGATCACAACACTTAAGGATCTAGGAGGTAATTGGATTATGGAACAACCACTAGTAAATAATTTAATCAATAATTATTACACCACTTTATTCACCACTTCACACAACCGCTCCTACATTAAACAGCCTAACCATGATTTTCATACACTAACTGCCATGGATCATACCATCTTGACACGCCCATTAACCCCTCAGGAAATACATCATGCTATTCGTTTGTTCCAACCCCTTAAAGCTCCAGGGCCAGATAGTTTACACCCCTTTTTCTATCAAACTTATTGGCCTCAAGTTGCCCAATCAGTAGTCTCCTTTTGTAATGAGGTTTTACTACTTGCCAAATACCTACTCAAATTAACGAAACATACATATGCCTCATTCCTAAGGTCAAAAACCCTTCACTGATCACTCAATATCGCCCAATTGGGCTTTGCAATACTATCTATAAAATAATCACTAAAATAATTGTGCAACGTATTAAACCTTTCATAAATAAAATAATAAGTCCGGAGCAATCTGCCTTCTTAAAAGGACGTAAAGCCTCGGATAATGCCATAATCGTTCAAGAAATTCTAAATTACTTCCGTAAGAAGAAAGGTCATGTAGCAAATTTTTTGATTAAAGTTGACCTCGAAAAAGCCTTTGACAAGATGGAATGGGGCTTCATCAAAGAAACATTACATTTCTTTAATTTCCCTCATAATATCATCTCCTTAATAATGTCTTGTACCACAACCTCCTCTATTTCAATTCTTATCAATGGTCACCCTTCACCTTTCTTCTTTCCCTCAAGGGGAATCAGGCAAGGAGATCCTTTATCACCTTACCTTTATATCTCATGGAAAGACTCTCACGACAAATCCACCAACTAGTGGATTATCAACAATGGAAAGTAATCAAATTATCCAACAAAGGTCCCCAATTCTCACATCTACTTTTTGCATATGATATTACTCTTACCTCCAAAATAACTACATCTAGTGTCCACACAATAATTGATACCCTTACTCTTTTTTACTCAAAAATCAGGACAAAGTATCAATTTCACTAAATCAAAAATTTATTTCTCCAGTAATGTCACACCAATGGACAAATCATTTGTCCTAAGTTCTTTTAACATGAGGGAGGGTGTCCTTTTTGGTAAATATCTTGGATTTCTCTTGTTTGTTAATAAACCAACATCTCGTGATTTTCAATACATCTTAGACAACTTCAAAGCTAAGTTGTCAGGATGGAAAATCAATATGCTTTCGATGGCGGGACGTACTACCTTAATAAAATCTACCTTAAACACACTACCAAACCATGTTATGCAATACATCAAAATACCTGCCCAAGTAGTCAACAGAATGAATCGCTATCAAAGAAATTTTCTTTGGGGTACTACTGAACACAAAAAGAAACTTCACTTGATTAAATGATCAGTAGTACAAAAACCTAAGCATCAAGGTGGTCTAGGTATTCAAAACCTAACTACTAAAAACAATGCCCTGTTAGGAAACTTAGCTTGACGTCTTTTTAAATGTCCACCCACCCTGTGGGCATCTCTATTACTGAATAAATATAAAAAGAACACAAAAGGCTCTAACACATCACTTACATGGAAAAATATACAACTAGAATGGAAACATTGCCAACTAGGTTTAGTATGGCATATTGCGAAAGGAACGCACATAAACATCTGGAATGAGCCATGGCTTGGACCAAATATTATCCTTCGAAATTCTATACAGGGACCACTAACCTCTCATGAATTACATGCCACAGTCAGCCACCACATAATCAACACTCAAATTGATACCACTTTACTATCCTTTGTCTTTCCAGAACACACCCTTTCATTGATCAACCAAATCCATATTCCAACTTTAACTAACCCCCACGCTTTTGATCAGATCATTTGGGGGCTCACTCCCAATAGCCAATTCTCTGTTAAATTATTATATCATACTCTAGAAGAACCAAAAATAGCCTAACGCACACAATTGGATTTGGAAATTACATTTACCTCCAAAAATAATACATTTTCTTTGGCTAATCTCACATCAAAGATTAGCCACAGCTACTTACCTTCACCATATACATGTCACACAATCCAATACATGCAATCTTCGTCTTCAAAGTGCAGAAACAATTAACCACCTTCTATTCCAATGCCCTACCACAGCCACTATATGGTCTTAATTGGGATTGCCACTACCTTACATGCTTGTGACATCCTACTCTCAACACCCATCCAAATCATCCAGCAGTTAATCAATAACTCTAAGAGCGTCCCTTTCAACTTGCCATCACGCATTCTTATCCCACACATAGTATGGCATATTTGGAAGCTCAAAAATCACTATATCTTTAAACGACAATCACAGCCCCCTCCTTCAAGACAGAATTTTCTATCACAAGCAGTAGAATATCACTACCTTATTCAACAAAAAGCACAAGCACCAACACACACACACATGTATGTCAAATGGCGCCCACCACCTTTAGGTAAAATTAAATTAAACACTGATGGGGCCGCCAAAGACAATCCAACTAAAAATATTATAGGAGTAGTATTCCGCAATGCAATGGGACACTGTTTACTGGGCTTCATGGGTGCTTCATGGGTACAAGACCTACAGGTAACTCCACTTTTATGGAATTAAATGCATTATTACACGATTTGCAATTAGCTTGGCTTCATCAATACCAATAGAAGTGAACGTGGTTTCTACTGAGGTAATATCAATGCTTAACAAAAATAATTTACACTACTCATCCACGTTAATGGAATGCAGGTACTTAATCCAGCAGCTAGGTAATCCTCCGATTATCCACATACAGGGAGCAAAACTACGTTGCACATACTCTCGCTCAGAATGGCACCACTGTCAATGTGCAAGACTACACAACAATCTTCACCCAGCCACCAACCTTTTTGCTACCACATCTTTTGGCTGATCAACAAGGAACTGCATACCCAAGACTTGTGAAGATCACAAGCCCAGACAACTTGGGGGCATGCTTGTGAACTTGACACATCTTTTGCAGCTCAAGCCCTTGTTCATCTACCAGCCCCCTATTTTGAAAGTGAGCACTCCAACGATCACCCTTTTGATTACACTTTTAGTAATGTATTGCAACAAGCTCCTTGTAATGTTACCGCTTAAATTAATATAATTTCGTCTGTTGACCAAAAAAAATAAAAATAAAGCATTCTTCAAGAAAGTTTACCCCAAAATACCAAACTAGATTCAATGTGGTGTTTGTTTAAAAAAAATTGTTGAAATTCTTTCTGAATTCTTTTTCAATTTTTCAAACTTTCACTAGTTCTGGATAAGCCGATACAAACCTCGACTTCCATAAGAAAAATGACCTAAAACCTGTTAAAGAAGGTTCCTGTAGATGATCAGATGTGCATGTTTAACTGTGAAACTATTCCATAAGAAAAATGACCTAAAATTATTGCTATATACAACCACATAGAGCTGCATTCTATACAACATGGAGTCGAGCAAGCTCAACTCTTTACAACAAGTTCAAGTTTACAAATTCAAATACACCAAAAGCTAAGGTTGTGCTTAGGGAGAATAATATACATCGTTTCCTCCCTTTCAAAAACAAGCAACTAAAATAGACTAGTTAAACAAAATATGCATAGGAGTTTAAAGTACTAAACAAGTGGAACCATCTTACATACCTTCAGCAGAAGTAAATATAATGACATTGAACAAAAGTTTGGATCTACTAACCCTTTCGAAGACACAAACATCACCTACTTTTAGGCTATTGTCAAGCACAAACTTCTTCCAACCGGAGGTCAACTTAGCATTTGCTGTTCCAAGAATGCATTTTACAGCCCAGGATTTCTTGCTTGAAACTTGAAGTACCACATCACTATGTTTAGTGGCAAAAAATTTCCTAGCTATCGGCAGTGTTATGGACTGTCAATTTGAAGGATGCATTATCATACATAACAAAAGATTCATCATTAATAAATAGGATTAGCTTTAGGTCGCTATCCTAAGAATAGCTATCTTACCAATCGCATCCGGCCGCTGGCAGAAGACACATATGATGGATGCATGAAACATATGAAGAATGGATTTTCAGATGTAAAGGCTTTCGCTCTTTGATACGCTATAACCATTTCTTTGTCCACCGCTTTGCCCTTACAAGAAGACTTAGATTGTTGCACATGCTTCCTAGTGTCTTCACTGAATTCTTCTGCAGAAATTCAAGCCAACACAACCACATTGAACGATCAAGAAAGTACCTTTAGTGGATTCTAAATTTAAAGCTATGATTTTCTGTATACAACAGAATAATTTATAGCGAGCCATTCAATAACCTTTAATTTTTGAAGTGAAACCATCTGAATCTCCGTTCTGCTTCTTTTCAAGATTCAGTTTCCTGCTGTGAACTATTTTGGGTTGAGAACATGGAACTGATTTCTCAGTTTTGATAGTCTTGTTTTTACAATCAGAAACCCCTGCCAATTTTTCATCTATTTTATGCACTGGTTTGCTCTCAGCCGCACGAAATATAGTGACATCTAGAATGGGCTTAGAGCCACCCTTAATCAATTCAAATACACAAACGTCTTCAGATTTTAACTTATTGTCCAGTACGAATGCCTTCCAAGAGAAACAAATTTGTGTTTTTGATATACCCAGGGTATATTTGACAAGCCAAGACCCTCTTCCAGGAACACGAAGCACTAATAAATTGCCACATTCCTCGGGGACATATTTCCTAGCAAATAAGAACGATATGTGCTGCCAAAAGAGATGGACGCAGTAAATTGAGTATATGGCGTGCACTATATGGATTGAATGAAGATCAAAGTATTGGAAAGTCTATAAAGTTTAGCTTAGCTTACCAGTCTGTATGCTTTTGAGACATATGATGGTTGCATAAAATATAAAACAAATGGATTCTCAGACTTAAAAGCTTTTGCTCTTTGATATTCTATAGACCCCTCTTTGTTCAATACTATCTTGTTTTTAGCATAAACCACCTTGGACTGTTGCTTGTGCATCCTGCAACTTTCTCTGCTTCCTTCAAACAGAAATTCAAAATCCATGTGTTACTACTAAATTGTCATGTAAGCAGATAAGGTGAAGCTACATCATCCTCTTGTCTGTTTTCCACATTGATACCTTCGGTATGAATGTCAATTGAGACATCATCCTCTGTCTCCCCTTCTGGTCTTTTTCTTTCGCTGCTCTTTCTTAACGGGTAATGGCCCAATATCTCAACAGAATGCTCAATCCCACTGCATTCCCCATTTTCTTCTGAAGATATTCAAGTCAATATAATTTCATCAATATGATCAAGATAATTTACTATAAGATGGAACATAATGTAAGTTTTCTAATGTCCTATAAAGAATCCAAATTATCACCTTTAATATTTGAACCGGAACCATATGAACCTCCTCTTCGCTGCTTTAATTTCCTGCTGTGAACAATTTTGGGTTGAGAACATGGAACAAAATTATCAGTATCGATAATCTTGTTTTTACCATCAGAAACCCCTGTCTCTTCGCGAGCTATCTTATGCATTGGAATGCTCCCAGCTGCTAGAAATATAGTAACATCCATCAAGGGCTTACTGCCCTTAATCACTTCAAATACACAAACATCACCAAGTTTTAACTCATTGTCAAGCACGAATTTCTTCCAAAAAACTTTAGCATTTCCTGGTCCGATTGTGCATTTGACAGACCAAGATCCTCTGCCTGGAACACAAAGCACTAAATTGCCATATTTCTCAAGGAAATACTTCCTAGCAAATTTCAATGATATGGACTGCCAAAGGAGATGGATCAGTAATTGATTTTAAAATTATGCGATCCATATGGATTGAATAAAGATCAGAGTATTGGAAAGTACACAGAGTTTATAGCTTACCAGAATGTACGGTGACGAGACATATGATGGTTGCATAAAAGCTAAAATGAATGGATTCTTAGATTTAAAAGCTTTTGCCCTTTGATAGGCTATATCCCTCTCTTTGTCCGTTACTGTCTTGTTCTGATCATAAACACTCCTGGATTGTTTGTTGTGCATCGTGCAACTTTCTCCGCTTTCTTCAAACAGAAATTCAAAATCAAAATATCACTACTAAATTGCCGTGTAAGTAAATGATCAGTTATCAAGTCCGCTCATAGCCAGTAAGCTAGAATAAAAAGTTTCTTACTTTTAGTCTTTCTTGTGAAAGAAGGCGAAGCCACATCCTCTCGTGACTTTTCCACCTTGATACTTCTGGTGTGAATGTCAGTTGAAACATCATCCTCTCCATCCCCTTCTAGTCCTTTTCTTTTGCTGCCATGTACTGATGGACAATGGTCCAAGATCTCAACAGAATTCTCAATCTCAGTGCCTTCCCCATGTTCTGAAGAAATTCAAGTCGACATAACTTTATCGAAACCATCAAGAAAATTAACTGGCACAATGGACACTAAAAAGTCAGCTTATGATCTTTTTGTATACTCCAGACTATCTTATAGAGAGATTTCAACTTTATCTTCTTGAATTTTTTAATTGAAACCATATGAAACTTCTCTCCGCTGTTTTAATTTCTTGGTTTGAACTACTTTGGGCTGAGTACATGGAACAGAATTATCAGTTTTGAAAATCTTTTTTTTACTATCAGAAATCTCAGGCACTTCTCGGCCATCTGTTTCATACACTGGTGTGCTCCCCAGCTGCTGGAAATTTGGTAACATCTATGACGAGCATGGTGCCCTTAATAACTTCAAAAATATAAACATCACCAAATTTTAACTTGTTGTCCAGCACGAATGCCTCCCCTGCCGGGAACATGAAGAACTAAATCACCATAGTTCTTGAGGAAATACTTCCTACCAAATTTCAAAGGTATGGACTGCCAAAGGAGATGGCTCAGTATATTCATTTTTAGCTTGTAGCTTACCAGTTTGAAAGGAAAGTAGACGTATGATCGTTTGCATAAAAGATACAATAAATGGATTCTAAGATTTAAAAGCTTTTGCTCTTTGATATACTATGTCCCACTCTTTATCCATTACTATCTTGTTCATACATTAAATTAAGATCATTGTGTAAATACTAATTCGATTTAAGTTATATACAACCTGCAGTGTAACGATTTTTTACACCATGAATGTAGTTTAACCTGTGACAGTAAGCAGATACCATTTCATCGAGTTACTAAGATGCCTATCATAAAGATTTACCGGCAATTACCTAATAAGTGACTTGATTGTGTAAATATATTTTACACTGTCAGTGCATAGAACTTAGACTTTATTAAATTATCATTTTTCAGTTCAGTTCATAGCCAAAAAGAGCAGATAAAATACTCACTTTGGCCCTCTCTTGTGAAAGAAGGTGAAGCTACATCCTCTTGCAACTTCTCAACCTTCATTCTTCTGACATGCACGTCAACTGAAACATCATGCTCCGCATCCCCTTCTTGTCTTTTTCTTTTGCTGGACTGTCCTAACGGACAATGGCCTAGGTCAACAGAATGCTCAACCGTATCAGGAATTATTGCTTTCGCTTTCTGGCTTCTGGGAATATCCTCCAGGATCTCTACAGAATCATCCGACTCGGACTGGTCTCTTTTTGGTACATGGCGTGTTTCATGGCAATGGAACATGGGAGTGTGTATACCATGTGCAGAACTGTATAGATATTCAGTTTCTGATGCACTCAAATCAAATATAGTGACATTAAAATGAGAACGAGCATTGTATCCAAACATCAAAAAGTGGCCGCAGCTTATTGAATAGAAATCGCTGAAATCTTGCCATCCAGTGCCTAGACAAATTTGGCCTTGAGAATGAACCACTTCAACCTCCCATACTTCTCCAGTGGGAACCTCAAGATACACAGGGTTTAGCATGTTCTTGCAATATCTGCTCGCAAAGTCTTCCGGAATCCTCTGCATACAAAGAAGATCTGGACTCAGTTTCATACATCTGGAATCACAGTAAAATAGTAGTGCCTGTTTTCTTGAGAAAATCCTGCAATATACTTGCATAGTGTATTCTCAGTTCTTTCAGAATTAACTACTAAAACAAAAATACCCACAGTAATCTAATTAGGCCAACTAGAAAAGATTAGCGGATATTTTGGATGTAAGTAATCTCAGTTTTACTCCCTCCGGTCCAAAATAAGTGATTTTTTGGATGTTTTCACACAGATTAAGAAATTCATCTTTTAACATTAATTAGCAATAGAATTGACCATATTAACCTTTACTATGTCACATAAACACTCCTAACACATATTCCAACACTATTTACTCCAAGGACAATGTAGGAAAAAAATAATTAATTCATTCTTGAAATATGGAAAAATCACTTAGTTTGGACCACAAGAAAAAGGCCAAAAAATCACTTATTTTGGACCGGAGGGAGTACGATCGATTAGGAGACAGATATGATTTCATTCTTCTATATCAGACGATCTAAGCAAGACGTGTGTGAAAATAAAATAACGTATTCCTATAAGATGAACTATATATCTTCATAAAGTTGCTCATTTTCAAAAGCTTTTATTTTTCTTCAAATTCGGTAGCAAGTCAAACACTGAGTATTTAACAAAAACGTCCACATTCATTGCGCAATCATTCAAGTATAACAAAACAACTTCCACCCAAATAGTCTAAGAGGGGATTTATTACAGGTGAAATAAGAAGAACTAAATGATACAAAAAGAAAATGATAGCAGATGCATGTATACCAAAATCTTAGGTTCAACACACATAAGACATATAGATTACAAATAGCAGGAAAAGAAGAAGGAAGAAAGTGATTACTAGATGGCTGCATTCACGTCGGGATAATATAATCTTGAAGAACTTTGGTTGAGCAATTTTAGCAGTAGAAGATTTCCAATGGGAAGAGCCTTCACCACTTTGCAATTGGGGCTTAGCTGCCATGACTGACTGATGTAATTTGCCAATGGGAGTAAGTGATAGTAGAGCAACAGAATTACTTCTCTTTGTTTCTTAATTGATTAATGCTTAATAGGTAGGTAAATAGAGATATTATGATCATTGATGTGATAGATTAACCCAGGGATCGAGGAGACAAATAAATTACTTGTAAGTGGCTTTTGGTTCATCATGATAAGTTGCCGCCATTTCTACGAATACAAAGAAATCAACATCACATTAGAGATATTAGTAGTACTCCCTCCGTTAAGTTTTACTTTGTCATGTTTTAATTTTGGTTAATCAAACTACATAAATTTTGATCAATATTTTAATATATGTTTTTTTACTATATTGATATGAGAAAAATTACAAATTATAATACTTTTTATATAGTTTTCGAATATTTAAATTCTAATTTTAAAATATTAAGAAAATATAATACTCCCTCTCTGTCATATTATGTGTCGTGTTTCTCTTTTATATGCCCCTTAAGAAGTATTAATTAGAAAATGAATTTAACTATTCTACTCTTATTTATGTCTTAAGATATAATCTCTCTTCATTAAATATTTATTCTACTTATGTGTTATATCCATCTTCAAGAACAGTTATTATTAAGGGTAAAAACGAAAAAAAAAACAATCAATTTTGTCTTGAACTTCTAAAATGACAAATAATTTGATACAACTATTTTTAGTAACCACGATTGTTAATATGAGACGGAGGGAGTACAATTTAGCTTAAAAAATTAGTCAATTTGACTCTCTAAAAGCGAAACGTGACAAGTAAAAGTGAAAGAGGGGGTAATTGTTTGAGAAATTGACCCTCTATAGCCCCTCAAAATTTTTAATAGCCCATATTTTTCCCCATTGACACTAAATGGCCCTCCGGCCCAAACATAATAGCCCGAAATATCTATTTTATATATTTTTGGTATAGTGACAGTCTATTTTGCATATTTTTTGTACAGTGGCAGTCTATTTAGTATATTTTTGTATAATGACATTCTATTTTGTATATATTTTGTATAGTGACAGTCTATTTTGTATGGATGAATCCGGTTCGTCACCGATTTCACACACAGAACCAGATTATCCGCCTGAGACGTCACCGTATTCTCCACCCTATAAAAATATTTTCGGGATGTTACCGGCGACTGTTCACTCAAATGCTTCATATTGCTCTCAAATTTTGTTTCAGGCAAATTAGTGTCAATCCAATTATCTTTTATCTAAAAATTATCTAAAAAGGAGTTGAAATAGGGAAATGTATTTGATTTTTTTTTAACTGTGGTTCATCTAGTGATTACGGAGTTGAAAAGTTTGAAATTTGAAGGGGAAGAGTGGCAGTGGTTTTGGGCTAGCCCTTGTAATAGATTTTGGACTACTAATTGTATGATTTATTTTGTGGCTACCGATTGTCATTTAATTTTTTCCGCATGGCTATAAGTGATGATTGCTCTAATTATTTTTTCGTGGAACTCTTTTCTTTTTGAAGTGATGTAGTTTAGCACTTAATGGGCTCATTTAGGAGTAAAAGTGGATGTCATACCACTAACTACCAAGTACTAATTCCTCTCTCAAGCCAGCAATTCTTACACCAAGACCAATTTTTTGGTTTTCCTCAATTATTATACTATTACATATTTTGGTAGTTTATTTGAACATAGAATGTTTAAGTTTTTAGAAATAAGACTTACATATTTAGAAATTATGTGAAAGTATTATAAATTACAATAGTTAATAATTTAAAAGCATATGTATAAAAAAAACAACTCATTTAATTCTCGAAATCTAAGCACTATCACATAAATCGAGATGGAAGAAGTAGTTAAATCTAACTTTATTAATCACCAAGTTTGAAAGTACAAAAGAAAGCTATAGTTAGCGCAGACAACTTGTAAAAGAGGAACCACAAAGTAGACTAGAATACTATGCCATTTATTTAAGAAAGTAGAAGCACACCTCCTAATGGAGGGTTTCTTCTCTTCCATAAAGTAGACAGACTACAACTAGAACCCAAAGTATCTAATTAACTGCCTACATCAACAAATAATGTAGGCAATATTTATAGCAACGCTCTCCACATCTCTGCTTCTTTGTTCGAAGGTTCTCTGATTTCATTCCATCCATATATATAGCATGAATATTCTCTGCATAAACCATCCATATTGTAGCCCTATTGCAAGGAATTTAGGTCTGGGAATCTTTTGAACCTGTTAAACATCATCACCATGTCCAGTGTGGCGGCCCTGAATCAACTTGAAGTAGTCTGAACACTGGCTATCTTGTTATGCGTACGCTTGACCTAATATGCACTATATCCACTCCCCACTCTTTTCCTTTTTCATTTACCAATATCATCTTCTTCATGGCAATTACACCAGCCCTTTTCGTGAAAATCATTGGGATAGTATATGTTCATCAATCATGTTTGATGTTTTATCACTACAACAAATATGAAATTTAGCTACGAAACTATTAGCTACAATACAAAATTCGTCACTAATTATCCACTTTTTGTGACAAAAATTATAAATCGTCTTTAAATATATGAACCACATACATTTAGTGACGAAACATAAAATTTCGTAGCAAAGTTTCGTCCACTAAAATTTTCCACCAGAAAACGATTTGGCGCCACTTATTGAGTAATATTAGCCACAAATTTAAAATTATTGATGACGTATTATTTTGTCACTAATGATGTGCTCAATTAGCGACGAACCACTATTTGTCTTAAAATTAGTTAAATTTTGGACACGAAAAATTTTCGTCACAAAAAATATGTTATTACTATAGCGACGAATTAAAATTTGTAGTTAAAGATTTTAAAATTTAGCGATAAAATTTTATATTTAATTGTGACCTTAATTTTTGTCACTAATAGTGCAAACAATTAGTGACAATTACTTTATTGTCTCTATTTAACTTAAAATTTAGTCACAATAATATTTTATCACTAAATATTCGCTACGAAAAAAGTTTGTAGTTAAAAACCATAAACTCATACTTCGTATTTAACTATAAGTCTAAGTTTATTCATGCAAGATACATATACTTATTGGTACTTTAAGATTAATTGTACTTGTGATAGGAACAACCATCTTATAAAAATTATCAAGTTCGAGAAACTCAAATCCCGATTTTACTTAGAAATTTTCGGAATACTTTTTTCTACTTTGAGCACAATTCAAAGTTCTTATTGGAAAGCATCAAGTTTGTTTAACTCCATATCGGGAGACAGGCTATTTAATTTGGTTCTTTAGGGTCTGTTTAAAAGGTCATGTGTAATTATCTAGCTATGTAATTACTAGGATAATAATTACACACTCTGTATTACATAATATAGTAATTACAATGGCCTATTTGTTTGCCAAAATGTAATAACAATATAATTCTAATAGTTATGTTTGGTTGGACAAGTGTAATTACATAGTTTAATAATTATTTTTCATATTAACCTACCAAAATATATTAATAATATATAAATAAATTAATAAATAATATCGTAAAGGTAGTAAGTATAAACACTCAAGAATATGATGGAAAACTGTATGTGTATTGAATGCCAAGCTCAGTTTAAATACAAGTCTTCCTAAGAGTACTCCTTGAATTAGGAGACTTATTCAAATCAAAACACTATCTAAAGCTAACTAACTGAATGATAAGTATGGACTGAAAGGATAACTCTAAATCTATATCTAATTTAAGGATAAGCATGAAAGCTAATAACTAATCCAAAACAACTAGGTACAACTGTTGTTCCAATACGTCCCCCTCAAGTTATGCGATGTGTAACTAAGCCTAACTTGAACAAATTTCGGTCAAAGGCTGGTTTGGCAAGTGGCTTGGTGAGCGTATCAGCTAGCTGGTCAGCAGAATGAACATGAACAACTTGAACCCCCTTCTGTTGAACATGGTTGCGAACAAAGTGAAAGTCCACCTCAACATGCTTCATGCGACTATGAAGGCCTGGATTCTCGCTTAGGTAAGTGACACCAATGTTGTCACAGTAGATTGTGGGAGTATCTTTGATAGGAAGCTTCATCTCAAGCAATAGGTTTTTCACCCATAACAGTTCAGCAAGAGCGTCGGCAACAACTCTATATTCAGCTTCAGTTGATGAGCGAGCGACAGTTTTCTGCTTTTTTGAAGACCAACTGATGGGGTTACGATCAAGAAACAGAATATAGCCAGATGTGGAGGATCTGTCAGTGAGATCTCCAGCCCAGTCGGCATTAGAATACATGTGGAGATTAAAATCACAATTTGGGGATACTCGGAGGCCAAACTGGATTGTACCGCGAAGATACCTGAGAACACGTTTCACAACTTTCCAATGTAGGTCTGATGGTGATTGCATAAATTGTGACAGTTTATTGATCGCGTAGGAAATGTCTGGCCTTGTAAAGGACAGATATTGAAGTCTGCCTAGGACTCGGCGATAGCGAGTTGCATCTATAAGGTCAGCCCCATCATTGAGTTTGAGTAAGTCGGAGTTACTCATTGGTGTTTTAGCACTTTTACAATCAGACATCAATTCTACACTTAGAATTTCATTGATATAATTTACTTGAGATAGAATANNTGATGGGACAATGAAAAACCGAGATAAACACATGGGGTGGATTTTGGTTCAAGGTTTTTAGAGTATGGTTTAAGCCATGGATAACATAAACACCCAAAAATTCTTAGCGAAGCATAATCAGGTGTTCTACCAAATAATTTTTCAAAAGGAGAATTATTGTTTAAAAGTGTGGTAGGGAGTCGGTTAATGAGATAGACCGCATGGTGACAGGCAAAGGACCAAAAAGGTGATGGGAGAGACGCCTCATGTAAGAGTGTTCGTGCAGTTTCAATAATGTGACGATGCCTGCGCTCAACAAGAGCAACTCTTTGAGGTGTATAGGGTGGAGCGGAAAGGTGTTCTATACCGTGAAGCGAGAGATAAGGTTCAAGACTTTTATACTCTCCTCCACCATCAGTATAGAGCGATAGAAT